TATAAAATCCTATTTTATAGTAGAATTATTAAATTTCTCTTGTTCTTTTGTAACCATAGCAAAAAATGTCATTTGTAGTTTGCTTCTTTCAAGGTAAGGGAGTTTTCTCAATCCTTCGCCTAGTACGAGAAGAAATCCGTCTACTCCATCAGGTTGTTTGGTCTCCCGTAATGCATTTATAACAGCTTCATGAAAATCTTCATTTGATTTATTCAATTTGTCGTACTTTCTTTCTGAAATATCATTGATTTTTATAAAAGTTACGAAGTAAATTTGAAGTCACCATGAATTAAATTTCATAAAATTTCTAGCAAACTAATATAAGATATAATATAAATAGAATACTAATAAAAGATATATTATACTTCTACTTGAAGTGAAATCGCCATTTTCTCCTGATCCACTTGATAACATAGGTGAATTGGATACGTTACTGTATATTGGTTCTGGCTCCGATAGATTTGAAGATTCACAAATTGATATGTCTTCGGCATCCTTCTCATTAATACACGGTAGACTAGTACATGTCCTGTAAAGGAAAACAGCACTTAATATCTTAACGAAAAATAATCAAAAATTCCTTTTGTACGGAATTTTAATTTTTCTTTGTTATTTGTTACTTATTTTCAAAATAACTTTAAATGGTATATACTTTGAGGTTTCCTCAGGACTGTTAAAGATTAATTATTAACACTCTACACTATTAAACTTACGAAGATTTTTCTAAGACATCATCCAAAAACTTCATCTGTTCAAAAAACCTGAAGGAATGTTTTTTCCTGGATAACATTTCAGCAGACCCACTTGGAATGTAGGTATGTTCCTTTTTTTTAGCCTTTATGAAACAATCTCGGAGATATCGCCATCGTTTTTTAGCTTCAGCTACATTTAAGGTTCCTATGTCACAATGAATATGTTACTTTAGTAAATGTATTGGGACTTCCGTTTCCGGCAGCGAGCGAGTGTCAGTGTGTGAGAGTGAGCGAAAGAGTGAAAAGTAGATAGAGTAGGAAAGAGAGCGTTGGCGGAGGAACGAGGTACGGGCGGACGTGCAGGAGATCGAAGAGAAGGCGGGTGAGAGAAGGGGAAGCGCGAGGGTGAGTAGGAGAGTCACAGAGGTAGACCCCTGCGCCGTTAAGATTCATACCGGCGGCGGCGGTTAAAGCAAAATAACTTGGCGGCGGCGAATTCGCCGAAAATTTTACCTATTGGCGGCGGCGGAATCGGCAGATGATAATTTACCAGCGGCGGCGGCGAACGGCGGCGTTAGTCATTTTTTAAATGAAATCATAACTTCAAAATAATTGAATAAATATAAAGGTGTTTTTTTTATGCTGACGCTCAATACTCGATTCAGGCCGTCGGGCGCACTGAAATATATTACAGCTGAGTCGTGCGTCCAGAGAGAGAGCATCGTCGAGTGGCGTCTGTCATTGTCTGGTTTATAGGGTGATCAAGAGTGAGGACGGAAAGGTACAGTCCCCATTCTCGACCACCCTATAAACCAGACAATGACAGACGCCACTCAACAATGCTCTCTCTCTCTCTCTCTCTCTCTCTCTCTCTCTCTCTCTCTCTCTCTCTCTCTCTCTCTCTCTCTCTTTTCTCGGTACGTGAGTATGGTTGACGTGTCTGTTATCGCTCTGTTTTTGAGGAACAATTACTGGTGTCTGCTGCCCCACGGGGCTTTCTTTTTTCAGTCAATTGAGTGCAAGGCCTGTTTGCCTGTCCTTATCTACTCTAATCAGCGCGGTTCTCGGATTTTCTGAGGTAATATTCCTCCAAATCTAAAACCGGGACTTGGAACAGGGATACGTCTTTTGTCGTGGAAATTTGTGCGCATGTGTCTTTCCATCCTATTGGCTAATTTGGACGATGCCGTCAGGCAGGGAGAAGGTAAACGGCCGGGCGCCTGCCGACGTCGTCTGTCTAGAGGACGGTGTACAAAATAATAGCGTGGAAACAAACAACGGAACTAAGAAACAAGCGCAGCGTCGGTACTCGCCGTCTGGCATACACGATGTGTCGGATATAGCGGCAGACTATGCGTTAAGTGCTACTAGGGTGGCATCACTACGGCAGGTGATAAATGGACATAGCGATGGGGTGTCTAAGCTTCTCCTTTCTAGCAGGGATACACTCGAGAGAAGAGCGCAGATAGAATCGGCTTTCCGTGCGTGCAGGGAGGCTTTTGTAGAAATTACAACCGCTTATCTTGCCTTGCTCGAGGGCAACTCTGTGTCTCTGCGCACTTCTCTCTCGGAGGCAGTCAGGGGAGCCGTGGACGATGCAATGACGGATGCTTGCAGTAGGCTTGCATCGTGCGTGCAGGGGGATACGTCGGCGATGTGCGCGGGTGGCGGGGTGGATGGTGCTCCTGCACGCTCCTATGCGGCGGTGGCTGCTGTTGAGCCGGCGGGGGTGCGTTTGGCGGGTGGTTCCTCAATCACAGTGCCAAAGACAATTAGTCTTATTGTTAAACCTAGAGAAGGCTTCTCGGCAAATTTTAAATCGTCGCATGAAACTAAGATCGCTTTACAAAAAGTCATTAGGCCGTCTGATTACAATTTACGCGTGAAAAGAATCTCGTCAGCGAGAAATAATGGTGTGCGAATAGAGGCGCTCTCGGTTGATCTGCAGAGGATGGCAGTGTCGAGGGAGCTTGGAGATGCGGGGCTTGTGCTTGAGCAGGAGGGCAAGCAGAACCCAAGGCTTAGGATTCGTGGAGTGCCGCGTGACATGACTCCTGAGGAAATACAGGACGAAATCATATCGTTGAACCTTGCGGATTATGAGGAGCCAAGTGTTAAGGTAAAATACATTTTTCCGCACAAAGATGACAGGCGCACCACCGACTGTGTCGTCGAGGTCACACCGGAAGTAAGAGCTGTTCTTCTCAAAAATAAAGGTGTCTACATAGGATACAATTCCTGTGGCATTACCGATCATGTCAGAGTGCTACAATGTTTCAAATGCTTGGCCTTTGGGCATGTTGCGAGGATCTGTCGGTTCATGCCACTATGTGGACACTGCGCGGGAGGTCACGAAACCAAGGACTGCAAAAGCAGCAGCAGAGCCCAGGCTTGTGGAAACTGTAAACGATGGACACCGCAGGTGGACACACAACACTCGGCGCTGGACAGTCGGAATTGCCCTATCTTGCGCAAGCGTATTTTGGACAGGATCAACAACACGAATTATGGATAGAGATCCAAACAACTATCTTAGGCTCTGTCACGTGAACTGTCAATCTCTTGTGGCACACTTGGACGAGTTTCGATATTTCTTCGCAGACTCGGGGTATCACTGCATATGCATTTCGGAGTCTTGGCTCAAACCTTGTGTCACGGATAATATGGTCTCACTTCAGGGTTATCAACTCGTAAGACATGATCGAATTGGAAGGGTTGGGGGTGGGGTAGCCATCTATGTCAATAATGCTCTCCATGCTTCCTTTCTGTGCCAATCGGACAATCAATGCAGTGGAAAACCGGAATATCTAATGATAGAGATACTAATAAAAAATTGCGCTAAGGTGCTTCTGGCAGTGGTATATAGACCGCCGCATTGTGGCTTCCTGTCGGATTTCTTCAGTGTCTTTTCCAGACTGTCGGTAAACTACAGACACTCAATTATTTTCGGCGACTTCAATGCTAATCTAGAAGCACTCACTTTTGACTCGTGCCAGATT